TCACATATAAATATATGTCTGCAACAAAATAAGCAAATTAATCAAGACATTAAACTCTTCCTTTAAAATTCAACCAATCAACCAAAGATTTGGCCAAGTTCCCTTGTAAAAATTCTCTGTCCTAAGTTCCCTGAAACCCATAAAATGATCGCCTACCACATTTCTTTAATCTTCCAGCAAAAAGGTAGGTTCTGCAGCATTTCTGAGCCTGAGATCTTGGAATCAGTGCTTGGGATCAATTTTGTTTCTTGACTTTCAAAAGTCAAATGAGCTGCTTCTGTGGTCACTATACCAATTCTAAAGCAAACTGTTACTCAAATACCACAGCTGAGCCTGTGAGGCCCACTGCACTTCTCCCCGCACCGCCCCTGACTTCCTTAGGGGGACACCATTATATCTTGACCCGTTTTTTTCACATCCCCATAATTCCTGGACTCCTAGTTCTGAACTCCAGTTTCTATGTTAACCTAGAGTACCTTTGGTTGTGTGATACTCCAGACTTGCATTGCCCAACAAGGCTGTGATAAGCCAGGCACATGTGGCTGTGGAGCACTTGAGATAAGACCAGTTCACATGGAGATGTGCTGTTAAGCATAACATACACACTGAGTTTCTAAGCCTTACCATGACAAAGAAGAATATAAAATATCTCATTAATATGTTTTTATATTGCTTAAATGCCAAAATAATATTTTTAAAACTAGGTTAAATAAAACCTACTATTAAAATTCATTTCACTTGTTTCTTTTTACTTTTTAAAAACATATCAACTAGAAAATTTTAAATTTCATATGTGGCTCGCATTATATTTCCATTGGACAGCTCTGCACTAGACCCCCTTAACGACATTCTGGATTTCAGTTTTCCATATGGTTTAAGGCTGTGTGTGTCCCTGGTAGGAACTCCCTGATCCAGCTTCTGCCGTTCACCCAACCTCAACTTTTCACTCCCACCTTGATGGTCAGGCTGCTTGCCAGACACAAGCTCCATTTCAGATGATCTAAATGAAATGCATTTAAAAAGAACAACACAGCATTATTTTATAAAAGTTGTCTGTGACAGTTCGATCCAATGCCATCACACAATGCACTGTGCAAGACACCACATGGACTACAAGGAAGCAAGACCAGTATGGGTGCAGCTCCTGCCTGCAATGAGCTCACAGTCGAGTGGAAGGGGAACGGCAAGTGGGCTAAGCCAGGAAAGAGAAGGGAGGCAGGCTTCACAGGAGGGAGCTGGTGACCTTATTGTTACACATCACCCTGGCATCCCCTCTGCTTGTTTGTATCAGAAAGTCATAGTGTGCCACAGGGATTTAGAGGTGAGAGAAAGCCCAGGTCAGTGAGTAAATCAGGAGAAGTCTTCAGAAAGAAATAATAAAGGAGTTCATGCTTAAAAGTTGAGGCAAAGGAGGAGGCAGGGAGGTGTAGGGAGTATTAGGGAAAGAACAAGTAATGGAGTTTGGCTGGAGAGGCAGGTGGAGGTTTGGGACAAAAGAATTGGAGAACACTAGATCTCCACCTGAGGGGTTTTATTTAATGTGCTCAGCATTAGTGAGCCATCAGCCCCATGCTTTAAAGAGGATAATCAATAATATTATATGAATGAAGTTTAATGAGGGAGAGGCTAGAAGTGAGGTGGCCAGTAGGAAAGTCCTGGAAGAGTCTGTGCCAGAGAGACTGTCACTCTCCTTTCATACTCCTGGTACACGTCGCCACCCAGTCACCACATTCTTCCCTGAAAGCCACCTCTGAATTCCTCTCAACACAGTATTGCAAAAGGCTATGAACACAAGGAAGAAAGTTGCTTTTCTATCTTTCAGTTCTCAAAAGTATTAGAACCCCTACCTAGAGTGGTATCAACACTCACAGAGGAGGAAAAATACAAAATCATATTTGAGGCTGCATGTAATCATCTGGCAGCCTACTGGAGAGAGGGACCAGGATTGCCCAAAGTACTCACACCTGTTGGACTGGGATGATAATGGTGCCACTGATCAAAACAGAAAACCTCAGGAAGACTGCAGTTTTCCCTTAAAGAATTTGACTTAGGCATGTTGTATATGAATTAATGATGGATAATTTAGGAAGAAAATCCCAGGAAGCCTTGGGATGTGCAGCTGGAGCTGTGGAAAGCAGATGGTCAGAAGGCCTTGACTGGAAAGTCTACTATTCAAACTCATAGCTGCCAAAGACATGGACTGATATTGAGCTGAAGGGGGAGGTCTGAGAAGAGAATTTAGAGCATGTCTACATGCGCATGGCCAACTGAAGGAGTGGCAGTAGTATACATATGATAACAGAGGCCCAGAGAGAACAGAGCTCATGAAGAGCCTTAGAGACTGAGAAGGGAAAATTTTAAGATGAATGAAGTGCTTTGTTTCACAGGCCAGGGTGGCTAGAGGCGATAAGAAAACAATCCAGTTTGCTCATTGGGGATCACTGGTAGTCTCTGAGAGAGTCCTCCAAGTTAGAGATGGCGGGAATGGAAGGAAGTCTACAATGCAGTGATTATGAAGGGCACAAAAGCAGTGAGCGTAGGAAAGGACAAGAAAAGGAGTATTATCTTTAAAAAAATTATAGGAAAGACTACATTTTGGCTTTTTTTAGGCAACAGAAAACTTGAAATGGGTATATTGATAGGCTAAAAGGAAGGCTTTGCTGTGAAGGACAGGATTAATGCTAAGTGGGAGATGGTGTCATTGGCAGAGCAAAACTCAGGACACTTACGAGAATGTGGGGTACAAGTTGGGCAAACCTGGGGGAGGCCAGAAGGCGGACCCTCTGAGCAAGTCATGAAGGAAGAAAGGGGGATTAATGACACAGGAATATTTAACAGCTCAGGGAAGGTAAATAACTTGTCACCAGTCTCTGCTTAAGTTTGGGAAATAAGATTCGAGTTCAGACCTTCCTGGCTCTAAAACCCAGGCTTATGACCATTACCTTAAGTCCTCAGGGGTCTGAACTTCACTCCCCCATCACAGAGCCTGGCACACAGAAGTGAATGTTTGCTGAATATATGAATTAATGAATGACCAAGTCACAGTGAATATCAGTTAATATTGTGCAATACTTTAGATGTAGAAGCTATAGGAAAATGGGCAACATACTCATTAATGGTTTCTCACTTTGGCCACACAAAATGCTGGCCATCGACTCTGGTGCAAGGCCCCAGGCCTACTCAGACTGCTAGGCGGGAAGGCCTGACCCAGCACATGGCCACTGGTCAGCCAGCACCCTGAACTCAGCCGAGTCACGGGACTGTCTGCGAGCAGAAGCATATAGCTTCACGCAGCCTTCCTAGTGTGGCAAAAAGGCAAATAGTTTATTGAATTTTTAAAGAATGAACATGATATAGAAGTACTTTCTACAACACTAAATGATAATTCAGACTGAAAAAGAGCGCAATTCAACATGTCTATCCTTCACCACTGCATTTACTTCGCCAGCTTGTTTTGAGCAGTATCAGTAACTACCCATGTCTTCATGCCCACGAAACTGTAATATAGTTCTCAGAGGGAGGGTGGTGAAAATAAAGATTTATGGCTTACAAATGTTTTAAATACTGCTCAATTAAAACATTATACAATAATGAATTCTCTTCCATTCTCCCAAACATTTTCTATTTATAAACAACATTGGAACAAAATATTCTTTTATTCATAGTAAAAACAACAAAACGTACTGGCAGTAAAAACATTATATAGGAGCTATCTCGCTAAACACGAGTAAGGGAAATTATGTGCAATAATTTTACAGGTAAAAACAGATAAGTTTATATGGAGCCAGTTCTGTTGCTCCACAATGTACTCTGACTTTAGTGTCTTGATGTTTTTATCTTTTGACAAAGTGTTTGTCTGTTTGGATGACGTGTGTCGCGTCGACCACTCCTGGTCCCTATCTCACTTGCTCTAAGAAAGTGAGTTGGAAGAATCCTTACAAACACTAAGAGCTTACTCTAAACTAGTTTGCTAACGCCCCTAGAATTGTTACATTTTTAATGTATGCTAAAAAGAAAAATTTGGGAAATGACTCTAAAGGAAATAACTTTGATACCTAACTTGGGGAGATAATAGAAAAAAGAGGCCATATCTGGTTCTCTTAAAATCTTACTATTGGGATCATCACTTACTCCATTAGGGTTTAAGGCAGCCTTAACCAACTCTATCATAATTACTTGGTTCCTCTGGAGAACATACTCATCTATAATGTTAAAAAAACATTAACATTATTATCAAGTTATGATCAATGTTCTAAATGTTTGCCTAAATTCAATCAGAACATTCCTCTATGTCTCCTTTATGTTAGAATATTGACATTTATTCTTATCTGAAGTTATTATATCTATTGAGAATTAAAATGTCAGTTGTGGGGGAGGCAGAATGGGTAAAGGGACTCAAATGTATGGTGAATAATGAAAACTAGACTTGCGGGTAAGCATACTATAGTGCTTACAGGTATCAAATTATAATGCTGTATGCCTGTGACTTACGTAATGTTATAAGCCATTTTTACCTCAATTTTAAAGAGTCAAATGTGTTAAAGTTTCAATGAATTAGAAAACTAAACTCACCCAAAGTGTTCCTTAATTATTTCATACTATGTGACCGGCTCCAAAACACAAACCAGTTATCAGGGAACAATATTGATAAACTTGGTTTATCTGGAACAAATATTTTCCATCACTTGATGTAATCACAACTTCTCTCCAAATACTTGCTTCTCACTGAACATGTCCAGCCTTGGTAATCTCAAGACAACCATTATAGGTGCTTTCTGCCCCCCTTTTCCCTGTTTCTCTTCACTAGAGAGTCATATCATTGGTTTTGTTTTACTCCCCCCACCCTCTTTTTCTACAATATTGGAGAAGGAATGAAAAAGAAAAGTATCAATTTTTTGGTACCTATCACAAGTCAAGCACTGTGCTGACAAATCTCAGCTAACATTCCTAATAAGCCTATTCCATTCACATTTTACAGATGGAAAAATACACCCAGAGAGATTAACAGCTAAAGTGCAGAGGCAAGATTGGAACCCAAGTGTGACTCCAAAGCCCAGCGCCTTCTGCTTCACTCTGCTGCCTGCATTAAGGGGCGCGTTTCAAAGTGCACATCCCCACCTCCAGAGGTGCTGTGTTGTAAATGAGTCACTTCCTTACTGCCAACAATAGAGGATGGAATCACTAAGTGTAATTACCGGGTCCTAATTCTTTTCCTTCCCTATTGCAGTTACCCCTTTTCAAAATTATACATGAAAATATTGAATACCTCAGAGAATTCACACACAATCTTAAAAACTCATTAATTTAAACATATCTTTAAAAAACAGTGTGAAACATATCCCCATGGAGAGCTAGTGTCACCATCTCCTAGGCTTCTGAATCTAAAGCAGAATTATAGATGAAAAGCTACTTTCTTCAGAGAAATACTTTAGAACCTAGAGAAAAAGTAAATTCTTCAGGGTAGGTGACTGAAGAATTCCTTCTGGCCTCTAGAGGGCGGTACAGTGAGAGCAATGGTCCAATCCTACATTCTAACCACTTTTCACACAGGTTTTAGTGTGCCTGGCTCACAGCCTAGAGCAGAAAAGGTTCAAAGAATGAATGAGAGAAGGAAAAAAAACTATAACTTTGGCAGAGCAATTACACTTAATCTTGCTTTATCTTAACCAAAGGATGAATCAAATACAAGTAAAATAAAAAATATTCATAAAGGAAGAAAACAGTATACCATTAAATACTGATGCTCCATGTAAAATGGAATAAATAAGTTATTGGAATCTTTATAGAATCTTTATAGAAGTTATATAGAATCTTTTCAAATGCAGCAGGGTACAACAACAACACATGATTGAGTTGATTACTTAGGTTTTTCTAATACCTGCATTTCATTTATATGGCATTGAAGAAATAAATCAAGTATATGTATCTCAGAGGTGGTCTGTATTAGGTTTCAGTATAAGAGGATATTTTAGATTTATTAGATTTATATAGTGATTTTCCTTGAAGAGCTAAAAGTGCTTTCTTTATCCATAACATTTATATAAAGAACATCAAACATTTCCCAAAATGCCAAAAGCAACTCAGGTAAACAGCAGATCCCAGAATATGAGAACAGTAAGAAAATACGAAGAGAAATGTAGATTCAAATAGATCTAAATAAGGCACCATGGAGTCAATCAACCTTCTGCACAGAGTGCCCCCATGTCTGTGAACACCACAGTCACGGTGTCACTCCTGAGCTAGTGAACAGATACTCCAAGCTGGATGACTCTTCTCAAATATGCAGTGATACAAGAAAAATGCTGCAATTCCAGGGACGTAAACAGGCAGATGGCCCACTGCCCATATTCAAGGGCTCAGGATCGGCCATGCAGGATACACCATCTGACCCCTGACATCATTTTGGAAATCTGAGGAGTACAAAGTCAAAGATGAATATAAAGTGATGTTTGTTTATTATCTGGACCTGCTTCCACTTGGACGTACTGAAATGTTACTAAATATTTTTCTAGGCAGTTAACAATGTGTAGGCAAGAGTCAGCCTCTGGAAGAAAGATGAACTGTGTGAAGATTCTACCCCACACATTGGAATAAAATAGGAAAATTTTAACAACATGTAATTATTTCTATAACTGTAGATGCATGCAAATCTGGAAGTTTTCTGAACCATATCCTTTATGACTATTTAAGATAAGAGATTTATTACATTATGGGAAACTAAATAGCACTGGAATGTCAAGAATATTGATTATTTGTATTGCATTTTCCAAAAGAATATATATAAATGCGCTGTGTTTATCTTCATGGTCCTTTGAAAAAATATCAAAACTTTAATTCCTGTGCTGCTGAGATAAATTAAATTAATAGATCTGATCTTGGCTGTATGAATAGGTATTGAATTTAGTAGAGAGACTTATAGCGTCTCATCTCTTTTAGAAACCTAAAAATAACAACTGGATGGAATTTCTCCCCAAGCTTCATGAAAAGTGCAAACACATTTTTGCATAGTTACCACAGGAAAGGGAAGCAGGTCTTCATGTTGCTAAGGATGAAATAGCATTGATGTGAACAGTATGAGCCTTTTCATTCAGAGACATTCAGCTGGGTCCTGGAATCTGGCATGTATACAAGTAGCTAGGCACAAGACTGTCAAAACACTACTGATTAATTTGGGGTGAAGGTACTGATTACTTGGAATTTAAATAGAAGGGCAACAATCACTAGAGGTAGGGGGCTTCTAAAAGATCATTTTCTTTAGAATATAAAGAGAGACGTGAAAGAGACTTCCAAAAGTGGAAGCCCAGGAAAACTACATCTCCTCCATGAACATACATTTTTGGTTACTTTTTAGCAATGTGCCCATGAATAAGGAATGCTAAAAGGAAAGGAACAGAGAACTAAAGGCTAAGACTCCCCCAAAGACAGGGAGAAATTCCCAGTAGGAGGGTGGTCAAGTCTTCAGTTTGTTCAGGTTGACCTTTCCACTCTCTCTTGGGTTCTACTCAGCGAGGTGGAGGAAGCAGAAGGAGGGGTCAGCCCCACCCTTGCAAGACCAGGATTGAGCCCCTCTGCCTGGAGCTGACAGCTGTGCAACTGGGCAAGATGTGTTTTTCCTCACATGTAAAGTGGAGATATTAATACCACCTATGCACGTATTCCAAGGTAAGCCCTTAGCCCAATATCGGGTACTTGACAAGTACTCAATATTCTGTTAATTATTAGAGCTACATAGGTGAAACATGTCAGTTCCAGAAGCACATGAAGAAAATTCAAGGCAATGAAAATATTCCCCATCAGAGGGAGGTAATAACTTAACAGTGGAGAAACCTGGAGAACACTGCCTCAGTCACATGGTCAGGATGAATGTAATCAGTGGTAATTCTTGTTGATAGCAGGTCCTGTTCCGATGTGATGAGAAGGGAATTTCCCTCTGTGGTCTTCTTCCAAGAACCCCAACACTAGACAAACCCAAACTGCATAAATGCTATGGAATATCTGACTATTCTCCTCAAAACAATTAAGGTCATTAAAAAAAAAAAAACAAGGAAAGTCTGAGAACCTGTCTCAGACATAGGGAACTTAAGGAAAGAGGATGTTTAAATATAATGTAGTATCCTAGCTGGGATTCTGAACCAGAAAAAAATATATATTAGAAGAAAACTACTAAAATATCAGTAAGTTTTAAATTTAATAATAATAAAAAACCAATGTGGGTTACTTATTTGTGACAAATGCACCAGAGAAATGGAAGATGGTAACCACAGGGGAATCTGGGTATGTGGTATATTAAAACTGTGTATTAACTTTGCAACATTTTCATAAATGTAAAGCTATTCTAAAATAAAACATTTACTTAAAAATAGGCCCCATGAAAAATATGGTGCTCAATCTATTGTGGCAACATAGCTAACACCTGTAATAGAAGATCAGGAAGTGCAGTGACGAAACTGCCTGAGGACGAATCTGTCTCTAAGTCATCCATAGACAGACATTTTATAATTTGCTGTATTAAATGAATATACCACTATACTCTTAAATACTCCTAAAGCATGGTTAGTTAAATGCCCATCTAGCAAATACTAGTTCAATAAAATGTTAATCAAACAAAATCAACTGCCAATCTTGGTGGGCGAAAACAGAGTGGATTTTGGAGCCAGGCAAACCGGGCTCCAAGCGTTGGCTCTGCACCCACACTGTCCCATTTAGGACAAGTTAAGTCAACCACTCTGATATTCGTTTCTCTGTCTATTAAACAGGTTTACTTATCTGTCAATGTTCTGAGGAGCATTACATGACATAAATGCAGTATCCAGCATTGCAGACACTCAAGAAATGTCAGTTTCCTCCCTTTCTACTTCTATTTTCATCTGCCACCATCTGATCGCCGCTCTGACATCTCTGCTTGGATGTGTTCCACATATCTCACATCTAACAGGTTTCAAACTAAGCTCCTGATTCATCTTCACCTCCTCACACACTCCTTCTCCTGCCAACACATTTTTCTCCTAGACTTCCCCGATTCAATAAATGGACCATAAGCCCACCAGCCACCCAGATGCTCCTGCCAGCCATGTAGGAGTAACTATCCTCGACTCTGTCCTTTTTCTCCCTCTTTTTCTCCCCCATCCAGTCCTTCAGCAAGCCTTGTCCTTTTTTATCTGGAAGATATTTCTCAGACCTGCCCACTTCTCTCCATCTGCCTTGCCACCAGACTATTCTAGGGATTTAGTGCCTTTGCAGATCTCATTTCCACTTCTGCTTCCCACAGTCAGTTTCCCAGATACTGACCAGAGTGTAGTTCTAAAACATTCACCAGGACATGTCTTTTCCATACTTAACAGATTCCAAGGACTTCTCATCACTTTTGGAATTAAGTCAAACCCCAGCACCCTGGCATACCACCTTTTCTCTCACCAGCCTTTGGGGCCACAGGGACCTTTCTCAGTCTCCAGGGCCCTTCCCTCTGTTGGGAGTGCTATTCCCCCAGCACTTCCCATAACCCACTGCTCCCAGCCTTTAGGGAGCCACAGCTTCTCTCATCATCCCTCCTAGTAAGATTTTCAAGGCCCACTTTTTCCTTCTTAATTGTTCTGTATTCATTTTTCTGATAGTAGTTTACAAATTTTATAATGCTTTATCTCTTTGCTGTCAGTCTGACTTCACAATTTTGTGAGCTTCTAGAGGAAAGAAAATAGTCTTTTAATTCACTGAGACAAGCCCAGTGCCTAGAAAACTGCCTGGCATACAGTAGGTGCCCAATTTATGAAATAAATAAATGAGCCAGTAAGTAAGACACCTTTCAAGTGTCCTGAAAAGCATCATAAAAAGGTGGACTCATAAAATGATCCCAACTTTATATAAATAAATCATGATACATATACATAAAAAAGATAAAATTTACTAAAATTTTTATGGTGATTAATTTTTAGTGATATAATTATTTTTTTATATTTATGTGCTTTTCAATTTCTGTACAATGAATGAGTAAATGCTTTGATGATAGGAAAAAATTTTTATCTTACATTAAAATATAGAATAATTAATTCATGATCAAAAGTATAAGGTGTGTTCTGGGTAAGTGAAACTTTTTTGTGTGTGCTGTACTCTAAGGAGGGTCTTGTTATTTTATTCTGTAAAATACATGGTTTCTGCAGTCTGAGATTGTTGTTTGCATTTCAGCACTGACCAGCTCTGAGTTTGACAAGTGGAAGCCTTGCAGAGTTTCCTGGATGTGCAGTAGAGATGACAACAATAATGCTTGACCTATCTTTGTCTTTGGTGAATTATGAAACATCACAAAATTTAGTTGTTACAATCCTTTTCTAGTCTAGACTGTATGCTACCAAAATTGTCCAGAAGAGATGAAACATATTCTATATATAAAATACATTAGTATACTGAAATATTAAGAAAGAAGTTTTTCTCTGTAACTAGAGGAGCTATTTCATCAGTTAATACTATACACTTGAGCAAAATGTTCTTTCTCCAAATAAATAATAATGATACTGCTGTCATGAAGTTTTGGAGATAAAGATAGGTTTACTGACCCAAAAATGTTATTTGGCAAGATGATTCAGAGTACAAATAAAAAGTATATGAATGAGTCAAACCCTAGAGGTCTGACCACAGATATCTATTCTGTCTAATTCATTCATTCAATCAACAAATATTTAGTAAGTTTCAACTATGCACTAGGTACTTTTCTGGGCCCTACAAATATAGCAGTTTAAAAAAATGTACAAACATCATACTTCCATTGGGTAAGCATGAGAACTGAGTAAACTACACAGAAGTGATAAACAGAGAAATATAAAACAACAAAAGGAGATGAAGAGTTCTATCCCAGGATAGGAAGCTGCAGCTTAAATATGGTAGTCAGAGAGAGTCTTACCAAACAGGCGACTTACCAAAGATCTGAATTGGGCAAGGGGGCAAACCATGTGGCTACCTGGGCAAGAGTAGTCCAAGCAAAGAGAACAGCAAGTATAAAAGAAGAGGCAGGTGCATTAGAAAAATATCAAAGAAATCAGTTGGGTAGAGCCGACTGAGCTGAGGAAGAATAGGAGGAAAAAAAGCCAGATAGAAAACAGAAAACCAGCCCCTATAATGGCCCCATCACTACTGTTCCAACCTTGGCTTCTACTTTAAGTGAAACAGAAAGACACAAGGTGACACGATTTGTCTTGTGTTTTGACAATGTCTCTCTGTCACACTCTGCTGCTGTACTGAGAACAAGCTTTTGGGTCAAAGGTGAGGGTAGAAGCATGGAAACCAGTTAGGAGGCTATTGATGATGATGATGTTGGCTTAGACCAGAGTGGTAGTGGTATGGGTAGAGGTGGCAAGATTTAGGATATATTTTGAAGGTAGAACCAACAGGATTTGCCGTAGGCCTGGCTAAGAAGAGTCAAAGATGATTTAAGGTTTTTGTCCTAAGTAACTGGAAGAAGTAGCCACAAACTGACATGGAGAGAAGGCCCAGAGTTTGGTTTGTTTGGAGATCCTGTGGAGATAGGCAGGTAGACAGACAGGTGTGTGTACTAGCCTGGAGATCAGGGGAGAGATCCAGAGCAGAGGGACATTTTAGGAGTCTCAGTGCATAGATAATATTTTGAGCCATAGGAATGGCTGAGATCCCAAAGGCATGAATATAGATGAAATAATCCAAGTTTTGAGCCCTGGATATGAGAAGGAAAAAGCAAAAGAAAATTCGAAGGAGCAGACACAGGAAGGGAAAAATCCATAGGAATGTGTCATCCTAGAAGCGAAGTGTGAAAGGATTCCAAGGAGGAAGGATTATTGGTCACCTGGTCAAAGGGCACCGCCAGGTGACAGAATACACAGACCTAAAAGTGACTGTCAGGTTTAACAGCATGGGGGATCGTTGGCGACTTCACAAGGACAGCTGCAGTGGAGTGGTGGGGGCGAAAGCTGAGGAAAATGAGATGAGAGAAAGGGGAGGGTAGTGAGGACAGAACATGGCTGGAAGGTTTGGTATCAAAGGGCACAGAGAAGTGGACAGTGAGTGGAATGGACAATGGTAGTTTCCAAGTAGTTCCCTCGATGGAAAGCAGCAACACCGTCTGGAGGTTACGAAAAGACATCAAAGAAGGTAGAGCTGGTGATGGGAAGTCTGGTGGGAGAAAGCTTTGCCCAGATGAGGAGTATGAGAAAGGAGGTGGTACATTAAGCAGAGAGCTACTTAAACAAATTGATAAATGGTGTCCGGTTGAATAAGAAAATGCCCAAAAGGAGGAGAGTTTGATTAGACACAAATGTATATTCCAGATTAATGAATTTCATCAACATACAAAAATCAATTGATGTGACATACCACATTAACAGAATGAAAAAATAAAAACCACGTGATCACCCCAATAGATGCAGAAAAAGCAATTGACAAAGTTCACCACCCTTTCATCATAAAAACTCTCAACAAACTAGCAATAGAAGGAAATTACCTCAATGGATTAGTAAATTTTAGCCTTTCAACTCTCATTTAATACAAAATATATCCCCAGTCCCTTGTGGGTAACTAGATGTAATTTTAACATCTATTGTCTAAAAATTTATGACAAAAACTACCCTGAGTTCAGAAATCCTTTTACTTGAACTTGTGTTTTACTAATCGCAGTACTGCTGAAGAAAAGTAGTCTGTATGTGTTTGAGACATTCTGTATTATTTTTTCAGTCTACAGATAACATTTGGTATGCATATGGCTCTAAGGATCCCACTTGTAGTAACTGCTCCTAGATGTCAAGAAGGTAGATCTCATAGTACCTCATCTCTCTTCATTTTCATTTATATGCTCATATATTCATACTCATATTAATATTTACTGAGCACCCATTATCATTACGTGCCAGAACTCTATCCACCTCCATTTTCTTCCTTTGATTCTATATTGAGCCATGTGAGGGGAGTTTCCCAAGTATGATGTTATCTCTCTGGCTTCCACAACTTTACTCACATTCTTCCTTGGCCCAAGGGGCCCTTTCTCCACTCTTTTCCCAGTCAGCTTCCACCTGTCATTTTGGACTCTATGAAAACATCTCTAACTCTGGAGAGTTTCATCTAGGATGATAGAACTTGTCCTTGGCATGGAGAAGAAGAATAGGGGTGCAAGCCAACATTAGGCACTGGTTCCCATCATTTCTCCTTCCCAAGCAAGGCCCTGGGAAGTCCTGGCCCTTCTATCTTTCTGTGCCCACGGTCAGCCTTTCTAGAGTTTGAGATCCAGAGTGCATTAAATCTTGATGTCTGCTATACTTTCTGAAGATGGATGACAATACAGAACATTATAAGCACTTTAGGATAAATATAAAGCAGAGGATAAGGTTAAAAGTTTCAAACTTCCAGTTACAAAGTAAATAAGTGTTAAGGGTGTAATGTGTATCCCAGTGACTATAGTTAATAATACTGTATTGTGTATTTGAAATTGCTAAGAGAGTAAATCTTGAAAGTAACTATATGTGGTGATGACTATTAACTAGACTTATTGTAGTGATCAAGATGCACAAATAATGAATCATTATATTGTACACCTGAAACTAATAATGTTATATATCAACTATATCTCAATGAAAAAATAAATTTATAAAGCAGGTGCAGGCTTATGGAAGGCCTGAGGGGAGTTGACATTTGTCCAGGAAATGGACACCTGTCTGTGCTGTGAAGTGAGGATTAAATGAGAGGGACATTGGGAACCCTTGCTAGGCAGCTAAGCATGGGCATCCAGTGAGTACATCATAAACCACGGCTCTATTGGTGAAAACAGTGATGTTAACCACTACATACTGGCATGGGAGGCAGTGGTTAATTTAATACCAAGAGGCACATTACGAGGATGGAAGGAGGGATTCATCATCAAATGTGAGTACATAAAACAGGCATGGATCTAGAACCACGTAGAGATGACTAAGATTTGCAAAAATGTGCTAAGAACACTCAAAATTTTTTATTTGTTATGCTGAGATCAATAAAGTAACCCAGGAAAGAGGCAAATGCTTCCTGTTTGAAGCAGATGGTTTAATCTTAAGGAAGCATAGGGAAAAGTGGAACTATTTGATTCTAATTATACATCTGTTTGCTGAGCTCTAATTTTAGGAATGAAAGCAGTGGAATTCTATCTGAGAACACAGATTTGAGCAGGATAAGGAGGCTTGACCTTTGCCTCTGTGGTACTATTGGTGGGGGTGGGATTTTTAATAAAATAACAGGAGTCTCATATCCCACCATTTTCTCCTTCTCAAGGCTCTAGCATTCTGTTCCTTCTATGCCCATGTTCCTACAGCCAATCTTTCTAGAGTTTGGGTCCAGACCACACAGAAACCATCATCAAACCTGGAAATCTAGAAGACATTTCTCCTCTGCCACCAGCCAGCAAGTGCTGGAGCCAATATCCTCTCTCTGAGGAAGATGGATTTTTGTATTCTTCACCAACACTTTGAAAAATTTTCACATGGAAACATTATTACACAATCCATGGTATTTAGGTGGAACATGACTACTCGCTTTGTATTTTGGTTGTGTTATTGGTTAGTCGCTTGTAAACTGGATTGGAAGAGCTAACTCCTTGCATAATATGTCTCTCTATATATATATGGAAAAATACATTCTGGGTTCCAAACAACTGACCTTATTATCCTTTCAGCAACTTACTTAACAAAGATGCCTTAAGCCCCTTCTACAGGTCAGGCTCAGTGATTTGAAACTGAAGGAACACACAGTATTCTCAAGGAGCTACTAACCACATCTTTTTCTTCCTCATTTTGAAACAGTCATGATAGAGAAATGTATTACAACACATGTTGGATAACTTACTGTGGGAAGGGAGGAGATGGAGTAATCTGCTGCCTGGGGTGTCAGAGGAGGATTTAAGGAAATCTTCAAGCTAAGCCTTTAATAGGCAGCAAAGGACCTGAAGAGTATTTTAGGTATAAATTCCTGCATGAAAAGGACACAGAGGTTTGAAGGTACAGGAATATCTGCTGTTCATTCAGGAGACAAAGGCCACCTTGTGTAGAGTCAGGCCTAGTACATAAGCGAAGTAGGACTTAACAATAACTTGGAACACAGCTTGTTTCCAGGGTAAGGACAAGCTCCACCCAAATGAATAAGACAAGCTTAGTCTGGTGAGTTTAAAAGCTACAAAGACATAAGAGGAACACCCTAGACATTCCTCCCCTATAGCATTGTCACATGATCTTCTAATAATTTATTATCCGCTTTCTTGTCCTGCTGCTCCTGCCAAGAAACCACGGAGAGCCAGAGGGCTGTCTGTTTCTCTGGGACT